GCTCTTACCCTCTGTCTGCTGAACTCTGTCTAGTGCACACACATACTAAGTAAGCACCTATCATAAGGTTTGAGGACACAGGAGGGTAGTACATTATGAGAAAGGTTTTCTTTAACCAGTGAGCGAGCTCCTGCTTATCTCTTTGACCCAGCCTAATTTTGTGTAGTGTTGACCCATTAAGAAGATGTGTATGAGGCACCAGTGATGTATTTAGTCCTCACTGTTCTAAGGTACATGAGTCAAAGAGTGTAAGGACACTGTGGGGGGAGACTGAGCCTGTCTGGGGAGGGCTTGGAGGAGTCAGGAATGATTTCACAGGTAAGGCAGAAGCGTGGGATAGAAGATGGAGGTCTATGTCTTCTGTCCAGCCAGTGGCTGAAGTCTAGCTGTAATACTCCAGCCGTATGTGGGCTTGAACGACTTCCTCTCAATGTCTGAGACCTTTGATTTGTGACCCAAGGCTAGTAGCATCTGCTTCTCTCAACACTGTCCCAAGGTGCGTGTGCGCGTGCATGCGTGCGCGTGTAGAAAAATGCCTGACTTGAAGGTTTATAAATTAGTGTGACTTTGCTCTCTATACTTTAATCTGGGCACATTAATATTTTTTCTTGTCTGTGTTTATTGTGACAAGCTAGTCACCCAGTATACTAATGATTACATTGGACGGAGTAGTTTTGGCTCTATGTTTTGTCTTCTCAGTATGTTATGTCTCTTTAATCATTGGCATATTTTCATTCATAGTGACAGCCATGTTAGTATATATGTCTGTGTCTTGAGATGAATTGAATTAAATAACTGATAATTTGATAGTTTTCAGAAGCTTCAGGAAGAATCAGGTCAAAACATTAATTTCTACCTTACAGATAAGGAAACTGGGGCAATTCTACATAGCTTCTGATATTTGCCCAGAGTCATTTATGCTAGCAGGTAAATGGCAAAGATAGGATTAGAACCCCGTGCACCTTGTTTTCCTGACTTTTTATTTTCTTGTAAACTCAGCCCCAAGAACTGGGAGCTTTGCCGGTGCTGGTCAGCCCGTCTATGTCACCTGGCTTCACAGGCGTGGGAAGGTTGAGTGAACAAGAGCCTAGCCTAAGGGAAAGCCTTAGGGAGCATCCTCCCTACTCAGCTCCATCCTGGCTGCCCTGAAGGTATTTATGAGTGTGAAGGTCCATCTGGAAACCAAGGGAGAGGCTGGGAAGAGCAACCAGCTGTAACTGCCAGAGAGTGGAGGAAGGGTGAAGAGGCCTGGTCCCTGAGCAGAGGAGGAGCCAGGTGGAGCTCAGGGGATGGAAAGCCAGGAGAAGTCCAAAGAGCAGACTACTTCTTAGTACACAAGCCTTCTACCCTCTCCGAACATTCCCTTTTACCTTCTGCTGGGAAGCATGTGCTGTGCTTACTCACTCAGCTTGTGTTGTAATCTTTATTGTGTGGGCAGCTGGAGGGGAGGGCTGGACACACTGGAAGGCTCTGACCTTAACCCTCCTGACTTGACAAAGTTGAAGAGTTTTTGACTTTGTGTTCCTTTAACTGTGTTGTTTAGTTAGAGAGAAAGCAATGCTCTGAGGGAGTAGGATCCAACAGCTTTTCTGAAGCAGAAGTTCCCAGGGTGTAGGTCACACATTTGTCAGTGTGGCAGGATCAACTGGGAGTGACTGAAAATCACGACACCCAACCACACCCAGACCTGTGGAGTCAGCCGTTCTGGGTGTGATCCAAAGGCAGTGCCCCTGTGGAGCTCAAGAGAGGTTCAGTGTAAGAACCTTGTAGGGTAGCCAGATGGAGTCTCTGTGACAGGGCAGAATCAGTCCCTGGCTCTTCTAGAGTCATGAATTCCATTTGGTTTTCTCATCTGCATATGAGGTCTAAGAGGAGCCTTTGAGCTCAGATCCATGCAAGCCCCTTCCTTGAAATTTGTCGAGCCTTGTGTAATCCATCCAGTAAAGGGGGCAGGGTCAAACCAGAAACTTCCACATTTAAATTGTTACTGCATCTTGTTGTATAAGAACAAAACAGAATGCCCTCAGAGGAAGACTGTCTCTGTACCTTTTTTCACACAGTAATGCATACCACAGCTCAGCACAGGTAAGGCCCACAGGTTTGGAGTGCCATCAGCTGAGGCTGTGAGGCAGGTCAGGAAGTGTTTTTCCAGAGAAGATAGGGTATTAAGATTCTGGGATACTGAATGTTAACTCTTGACCACCTTGCTAGAACATGGAGCCTAGAAGCAAACTGTCCTTTGAAGGCCATGTGGACCTCCAGTGTTTATGAGAAAGTGTTTTCATGCTTAACATGAAATTCATGTCCAACACATTTAATTGATCTGTGACCTTCAGGAAAGGCATGTGGACTGTTTGAGGTCACATGAAGTCTGCAGTTGTAGGCTCAAGGCCAAATAAGTTTATTTTGTTTGTTTGTTTGAAACAAAGGTTTTGCTTGTCTTGAATTTCTGATCCATGTTTCTATCTCTCCCTGGAGAGCAAGACTGTTCCAAAAGAACCTGAAAGTAAGCATCTCTTGAAAAATTTATGCTCACAAACCTGTTAAATATTAAAAATGAAATCTCAAGGATACAACTTGGTCTTGAAGTTTTTATGACATTTGATTATCAGAAGCTGTTATTTATTTTATTGGCCCTCCCAATTTCCCTCTCTTCCTTCTTTGTTTTTATTCCTTTGTTTGCCTGTTTTTGGTTTGGGGGGTTGGGGAGTTGTTTTGTTTGTTGTTGTTGTTGGTTTGGTTTGGTTTGGTTTTGGCAACTCTGTCTCTGTAGCCCAGGCTTGCCTAGAACTGACTTTTTGTAGTCCAGGCTGGTATTAAACTATTGATTTTCTTGCCTTGGCCTTTCTAATCCAAGAATTCCAAGAATGAGCCCCTGTATCCATCAGTGTGCCTACACTTGACCAGGTATTGCAACCTTCTAAAGAAAGTGTAATTAATTTTACAAAGAGAAAACGACAGCTCCGAGAGGTACACTGGCTTGCCCAAGGATGCACAGGCAGTTCAAGGACAGAAGACTAGCTCAGGCTTTCTGTGTTGGTATTTTGTTGTTGATGGTGATTATCAATTATTTTTCTTTTTTTCTTTTGTTGTTGTTGTTTGTTGTTTGTTTTTGCTTTGGTTTGTTTTGGTTTTGTACCTGTGAAAGACTCTTGTGTTTTACTGGTCACTCAATTGTTCTCAGAAGTATATAAAACACAGAAAGTATTTTCAATATTCTAAAGCCTGAGGCTTAGTAGAGTCAGCATTTACAGTGTAAAGTCCAGGGAAGAGATAGCAGATTGAGCATTCTCAGAGCCTAGCAGCCTGGCAGTAACAACTTCATGGACTGGAGTTGCCAGACCCACTCAGTCTATGTTCCCTATAAGGTGTCCATGCTAAGAATCCAGCTGTAATTGAAGTTTTGTTGGTGGATAATATGTTTTTAGTTGATTGTTACATTGAAGTCAAAAGGTTTGTTCTGTTTTGTTTTTGTTTGTTTGGGGTTTTTTGTTGTTGTTATTTTACCAGAAAACAATGCCAAGGGGGTTTAAGAGTAATGTTGGAAAAGTGGCAGAATTAAAAGACTGGTTCTCCAGAACTCAACAGAAAAAATTTAAAGATGGCAGTCTGGAAGGATGTTGGGACAAGCCAGTTTTCACAGCAAGCACAATTCTTTTTTTCTCTTTGTTGCATGTCCCTGAAATGTTTTGTAATGATCTTTAAATATCTATCATCTTTGCATGTTGGTAGTGTAGAAGCCTAGTAGGATATAAATCTCACCCCTGTCACTTTCAACTTGTGTGACCTTGAAGAATTTACTTAACCTTTTCATGTCTAGGTGTTCTCTACTGCAAAATAGAAATGACTTCCTGTGAGGTGTGAGTTAATTACTGAAGTGTTTTATGACTGTATTTGGCACTTCCTATTGCCATTTTAATTAATAAAAGCATAATTAATGTAATTGCTGGAGCCAGGAGAGAGAATGGGGGGAAGGGAGGATGCTAAAATTGCCACAGTCCAGCCTTCTGTGAATTCTCCCAGGATAAATAATTCCCTTTAGTGCAGTGATTTGAGGTTTTTGTTTTCATTGGCATGGAACATTGCTTTTGAATTTCCCCACTAGAATATTAGTGAGATCACTAAACCACTTTAACCCATGCTGGCTTAGAATTCACTGTGTTGGTCAGGCTAACCTCAAAATCATGGCAGTCCTCCTGCTTCAGCTTCCCAAATCCTGGGATTAAAGGCATAAGCTACTATTTACTCTTTAAAACACACGTGTTGTCTCATTAACTGTTCTATTGCTGTGAGGAGATATCATGACCAAGGTAACTTAGTTGGGAGCTTTCTTACAATTTCAGAGAGTTGATCTGGGATCATCAGGGTGGGAAGGAGACAGCATGTTGCAGGAGCAGTAGCTGAGGGTTTCGAATTCTGATTCACAGAGAGCAGACAGAGGGGAGCTGGCAACTTTAGCATCCATCCTCCTTTCCCTCCGTAATCTCTTCTGGCTCCTGAAATTACATGGCTTCTGTAATCACAATGACCTGTCTGTGCCTTCCTTTCCTCACATATCAGCTGAAGGTAACACGTGAAATGTGGGATTTTTAAACCTCAAATGCCACCCTCAGTGATAGATCTTCTCTAACAAACACCATGCCTCCTAATACTTCCCAAACAGTTCCATTCACTGGGGACCAAATTCAAACATAAGAGTCTGTGGGGGCCATTCTCAGTCGAACCACCATACTCTTATTAATCTTCCAAGAGGTGGTAGATAAAGCCTCTTCATAAGATGTTTTCTATGGGTGGAGATAAAAGCTAGAAGTAAAGCAGTCAGAGCTCTACGCTAGAAAGAAATGACTTGCTGTGTCTGTTGAAAGGGCTTTCTATGCTTAGGCATTAATTCATACTTATGTCTCATAACCGTGTCATTTCTATTCTGTGGCAGAAAGAAACACTCTCATGCTGGAGAAACAAGAATTCTGTTCCTAAATTACAAACTTTTTCCTCTGTAGGTTCATATGGGAAGGACATTGGGGTGACCATCTTCTCTATTTCCAGGTGGCTTTTCTGGTGAGTAAAGTCTTTTTTATGACTGCTTCCTATGTTTACCTTGACATACTTAAAGCATGCTATTCGACTTGGATTTAGTGACTGATCCTCCAGGAAGTACTGAATACCTAACGATGTTCTTCCCTTGGTCTGATTTGATAAAGGGTCAACATGGGCAGAAGGATAGGTAGATCCAATAGTCTCCCATTTCTGAGCAGAGTTCTAGGATGTGACTGCAGAAAGCCCTTTTTACAAAGCAGAGTGAAGGGAGCCTCAGTTTGCCCATGTTCATAGACCTGCTTGGAATCAGCTCCAGGACTCCCAGTCCAGCTGCAGGTGCCAGCAGCTACAGCCTTGTCTCAAATGGCGCACTGCGGCGTCTGTGTGGAAGGCACCCTGCAGCCCTGAGCTGTCCATTCTGCCTCATGTGGGAACTGCCTATCGTACATGGCTCTTGAGCACCAAAAATATGCCCAGTGTTACTAAGACATTGACTATTGCTTTCTCTCACTCAGTTTAAAATTTAAATGTGTATACTTGCATGTCCATTTTGGACATCAAGAAGGAATGAATTCTAGCCTCATGTTCCTCATTGTGGTCTAGTGAGAGGCCAAACCTTCTCTGTTTTCAAAGGATAACTCTGAAGGATTGCCACTGAGGCTGGATTAGGGCTCTCTGAGGCCCCCATATTGGGTGCTTTTTGATTAGACCCCCTTTCTATCTATCATAATGACATGTCTGTGCCTCTGTTTCCTCATCTGTCAGCTGAGGTTAACACCTATCCTGTCCCTCCCAGAGATGTTGGAGGAAGCTTGGGCTTAAAAAGTCATGGGAGGAGCTTCCTTTACAAGTTTTGTAGTTTCTTTTCAAAAGTAGTCTGTGGTATCTGGAAGCATTTCAGTTTGGGTACTAGTTATGGATAGGTTTTCTTTTTTCTAACACGGTGTAGTTGGATATACCCGATGTTTCCAGATGATTGTCCTTGTGAAACATGAGCTGGGAAGGCAGTGAACTCAGGCTAACTCCACTGAGGTAGCTGTTTGATCTAAGAAACCAAAGCGAATTCCCTTCTACTGGGGATTTTCTTAGGGTTGCTAGTGCTGTGATAAAACACCATGACCAAAAGCAGCCTGAGGATGAAAGGGTTTATTTCAGATTATAGCCCATTATTCAGGGAAGTCAGGGCAGGAACTCAAGGCAGGAACCTGGAGACAGGAACAGATCCGGAGGCAATGGAGAAGTGCTACTTGCTGGTGTGTTCCTCATATGGCATGTTAGCCTGCTTTATTATATCATCTAAAACCACAGTGGGCTATAACCTCCCATATTAATTATTAATCAAGAAAATACCCTCATAGGCTTGCCAACAGGCCAGTCTGCTGGGGGCATTTTCTCAATTAAGGTTCCCCATCCCTTTTCTCTCTTTGGCTTTCTGATCATTAGCCTTGCTAACTCTCAACTTCAATATTTGGTGCCTTGTTTTCTTCAGTAAGTAAAACTCTCTTGGGTGTCAATGTCGATGTTGCCACAGCAGCTCTCAGACTTTTGTTCTGAGATAGGAATTTTAGCTGGTAGGGCACAGCATCAATCAATAGACTCTACCTGCTTCAGGAACGTACCATTCAGTTTTAACAAGACAGTTTCTTCTGCAGCAGCAAGCTGGGTCCAGGGAACTAGCTACACTAGTACTTTTGAAATGTTTGCTCTAAGCAGAAGGTAACATAATTGAACCAGCCTCTATGGGAATCCTGGACTGTTGCTCAGTGTGAAGTGGTATAGCTATGGCTGCTCTTAGAAGCTCCAGGAATACTGCTTTAATTACACCAGACTCTGCTTTATATTGTGGTTTATGGGTATGGTGAGCTTTAAAAATTTTTTTAAATAGCACCACCAGAAGTTGTAGTATGTATCACAGTGACAAAGATGTTAGGGTTCAGTCTTTGTGTTCCATTTTTCTATAGGTTTTTAAAATCTGTAACCTATATTCACTAGTATTCTACACAACAGTTGCATAGCCCTGGAAGTACTCTATTCTCTATGTCCATCCTCCCCCAGCTCCAACCCCAACAACCACTAGTGTTTCTGTGTCTTAGCAGTTTAGCTTTTCCAGAATGTCCACTAGTTGAGATTGCTATAGTGTATAATCTTCCAAAATGGTTTATTTTATTTAGTAGTATGCACTGGATATTTATCACCTCCTAAAGGTTTAGCAATTATGGACAAACTACACAGATATCCATATACACATTGTTGTCTGAACAGAAGTTCTCCATTCATTTGCATAAACACCAGAGGATACACTTACCGGATTGTGTGGTAGGGTCTCATTTACTTTTGTGAGAAGTTTGCAAAATGTTTCCAAAGTATCTGGGCTGCTTTGCGTTTCCATCCTTAGCTCCTGTGGCCCTGTATCCTCATTGGCATTTGGTAGTGATGTTATGGATTTGGGCTGTTCTAATAGGTATGCAGTATATCAGACTGGTTGTTTTCTTATTGTCGAAAGTATTTAAGTGCTTGAGAACCAAATCTAGGGCATTGGACCCACCAGGTGAGTGTTGTACTGCTTACTGCTGATTTTTGGATTTTTCCCTCTTTTTGATAATAGGTCTTTATCAGAAGTTTCATTTGCAAATATTTTATTCTACCTACGGTTTCTCTTTCCATTCTCGTGGCATGCTTTTCAGCAGAGCAGAAGGTTTTTGTTTTCTCTTTTCATTTTAATGAAGGGAAGGAAGCGCATCAGTTCTCTTTGACTGGATCACCTTTCAGTTATTTCTGAGAAGCCATGCTGCTCATCCCTGCCCCCCCCCCCCCCCACACACACACACACACGCACCGTCATCATTTATTTTCCTGTTGCTGTGGTGGAGAGGTCGCAGTGGCAGGAACTCGAAGCTGCTTATCACATCACTTCCAGAATTTGGAACAGAGAGCAATGAGTGCATGTTGAGAACACGAACAGTCCAGCTCCCACCCGAGGAAACGGTGCCATCTGCAGGGAGCAGGTCTTCCCACTTCCATGAACTCAATCAGAACAGCCGAGATAATTCCCCACAGATATGCCCAGAGCTCCTTCTCCAAGGCAATCTTAGATTCTGTCAAGTTCTCAACTGGTATTAACTGTTATGATACCCAAGCATTCCCACATACTCCTAGGGTATCTTCTGGTTTTTAGTTTTTTAGTTTTACCATTAGATCATCGGTCTTGAATCCTTGTGCAGGTTGTGAGATGTGTCTCTGGTTTGGTTTTTAATGATTTTGTTGAGAAGAATCATCGTGCCATTGCCCTTGTTTACTTTCTTGTCAACGATTAGCAGATGGTATTTATGAGAGTCTGTTTGACTCACTCTCTTCCCATTGTTCTAACTACACTTTTGCCAGGATCATGCTCTCTGATTCCTGTAGCATTCTGAGTCTTGCAGTCAGACTCAGTCCTCCAAAGTGGTTCTTTAATAGTGATTAGACTATTCCAGATCTTTTGCTTCTCTATGTACACCTTAGAATGAGTTAATTAATTTATAAAGTAATTCTGTAGATTTTGGGGATGGTAAAGATCAAGTTGTGAAAAATTGCAACCATAAGATCACTGCAGTTTTCTATCTGTGAATATGGACTGTTCATTTATTCAGTTTTTGTTTCATTTCATCAGAATTTTGTAGTTTTCCTTACATAGTGTTTTTAGTTTACATTTCATTTGGAGAGGTGTCATATATATATTGACTTGTATCTAACAACTTTCCTTTACTAGACTGGAGACAAGTTTTGATTTTTTTTTTCAGATTTATAGATGATCATATCACCTGTGAACAAAACTTTATATCTTTTCCCATTTATCTTTTACATTTGTGTGTGTGTGTGTGTGTGTGTGTGTGTGTGTGTGTATGCATACATGTACACATGTGCACACATACTCACAGGCTGACACTTGAAGGTCAGAGAACTATTTTGGGGAGTCAGTTCGTTCTCTCTACCGTATTTGTTCTGGGGATCAAACTTAGCCTGTCAGCCTTGGTGGTAAGCATCTCTATATTTCATAGATTCCTGTTTACTTTTTATTTGTCTTTCTGGTTGTATTAGTCCTTTGAATACAGTGTTCAAAGCAGTACCAGTTTATCATCAGATGAATGGTTTAAAAAAGTGATGTGATGTGTGTGTGTATGTGTGTGTGTGTGTGTGTGTGTGTGTGTGTGTATGGTAGAATTTCACTTTGCTCCAAAGAATTGAAAGAAGCCAGATTCAAAAAGACAGATTTCACATGTCTTCTCATATGTAGATTCTAGATTTAAGTTTATATATAGACATATATACACATGCCTATGTAGGATGTGAAACTAGGAAGGGGACTATGAAAGGAAAAGAGTAGATCTAAATGAAAGAGAAGAAACAAGAAAGAAAAATAAAAAGAAGGGATGAGCTAGAGAGAGCTCATAAGTTAAGAACTCTCTAAGAGAACCTGAGCATGGTTCCCAGCACCAACTGCCTGTAATTCTAGCTCCAGGCAATCTAACATCCTCCTGTGAATTCCACAGGCCCTGCATGCACACAGATGTACACACACACACACTCAACCAAAAATGAAATCTTTATGAAGAAAAGAGAAGAAAATCCATGGGGAGAGGGCATACTGACCTTTTCTAATTTTAGGAAAGCTTTCCATTTAAAACATTGTGTTTAACACCATTAAATGTTCTGTTAACTGCAGTTTTTGAAGTATTCTTGTTTTTGTCTTTGTGAGATGAGATCTCACAGTCCAGGCCCAGTTTGGCTTGGAGTTCTCTGTTTCCTAGGGTGGTTGCCTTGAAGTGTGCAGGCCCTTCTACTGGAGTTCCCCAACTGCTAGAATTAGGGCATTCACTCCACACTCACTGTGGGGTTTTATAGACGTTCTTTGTCAATCAGAGGATGTTTATTTCTGGTTGACAGAATTTTTATAAATATTGGGTTTTTCTAAGTGCCTTTACTGCTGTAAACCAAACATGTTATCATGTTTTTTTCTGTCAGAAGCCTATTTTATATTATAT